CAATCACTCATTCACACGAAATTTTTATGTATTTTGTTATTGATAAATCAGTTAAACTCTGAAGTATTCAAGGGAATTGCAATTTTCAGATCCACATGATAATGAAAATGATGAAACAATTTGAAAATTCAAGCAACAATTTCCCTGAATTTGCGGTTCACTGAAAATTCAGTTGGATGTGACGTTGAATTTCAGGACTGAATTTGAAAATTCTAGATGTTATTGAAATACCAGTGACAAATCTAACATGGAAAACCCGATTATCCGGAATTTCCAGCCTGAATGAGAGATTCCTTGAACGATTTCATCTTAAACTGAATTCAAATTAACAACATTGAGAATTCAAGTGCAACCACTGCTTAATTTTATTTATTTCTTGTTTATTCAAGTCAAGACAGCCGAAGCCAGTTACAGGACTCATGAATACTATGGAAATAACAAACACTAGTCTAGCAGCAAAAAGAATAGCTCAAAATAGTGAAGATGACAATGAAAGTGAAGAGCTCGTAATTGCTGCACGTGACATTAACAACAATTTTTTCCAGTTTCATATGCCCTATACTAGAGTCTCCATTCTCATTAAAGATATCATTAAAGATATCCACCTCAGGGTAGACTAAAAAAAATTTCAAAAAATTCCCAACAGAACCGAAAAATCGCGTTCCACCCTCGCGTTCATTCCGTCCTCTTGTTCCCCCTATTTTCATATTTTTATTCTTGATGTGGAAAATTCTGGGGTCGAGTAGATTTCAACGTTGATGAACAACCGGAGTGGGGAAGGAATCAGGTCGACTCTTCACGGGGGTTGGAGCGGCGAAACGGAATTCCGTTTCGCTGAAGGTAGACAGCGGTGTGTGGACGGAGGGTGAAGAGTGATGGGAGGGGGGGAGGAGGAAGAGGGGGAGGGAGGGGGGCTGGAAGGGTGAGTCAGGGCGGTTGTGCTTGGGATTCGTAGAGCAAAGACTAGGTTGGCTGCGAAGGGGGGCGGGGGAGGGGAAAGGGGGGCTCGGGATGATATGAGGTTAGGTTGGTGCGGGGAGGGGGCTCGCCTTGGGTTCTGGCACCGCTAGTCCTTTCTGTATTGATCGCGTGAGCTCCTTTTACCTCACCTACAAAACACCGATCCTTCTCCGACGTTTTTACCCACTCTCATTCGCGTCGTGTATCGGTGGGGTCGGTTTACGGATTGGATAAACATGTCGGTTGTTGTTGCATGTGTTTTGAATTGATGTTTCAGGGTGTCGGTGGTGATGAAGTCTTTTTTTATTTGGTTACTTTCTGCTTCCGAATGGAGGCATTGCAATCCTTTGATTTTCATTTTCTCTAATTTTGATTTGACATTATGTAGAATGGTCTGAAACGCAACAATTCCCGCAAAAATTCCCGGTGGTCAATTTTTAGAAAATTGAGTAATCAAGTGGCTAACGTAATTCCGAAAAATCTGAAATTCCGTCGGATTAGAGGGCTTAATGAGAACGAACTGTCCAAAATTTCAGCTCTTTTCATCATTTCTAGTCTTGAGAACGCTTAAAAATTCTCGCGGGATAAGAGAATCTCATCCTGCTGGAAAATTTCTCTCTCAGAAAACTTCTCTTTTTTTTCAAATTTTCAAAGGGTCAGATTTTCCGTTTTTCCAGGGGGAAAGTCGACTTTCGCCAAAATCGAATTTTTTAGCCGGGTGAACGTTGATTCCAACTATTTAAGCGACGGGCTATTCAAAACTTTCAAAAGTATGTGGAAAAAATGAAAATTGAAAAAGTTTTTTTTTCAGATTTTTAAAGGGTCAGATTTTCCGTTTTTTCAGAGGGAAAGTCGACTTTCGCCAAAATCGAATTTTTTAGCCGGGTGAACGTTGATTCCAACTATTTAAGCGACGGGCTATTCAGAACTCTCAAAAGTATCCTATTCTAAAAAGAACATAAGCCGTAAGCTGTCGTAACGCTCATTCCTCGAATTTCATTGGTCGAACATTCGGATCCGCCCGCACGTGTTCGACTTCGATCGGCTTTCGGTTTTCGTGTCACGATTTGTCTTTAACACGCGCGCTCAAGCGCGCGATCGTTCTCGTAAGAATAAACATGGAATCTTATTGATCGTTAGCGTCCCAATTACATCAGTCCGCATATGAACTAATGATTGAGAACAGAAAAACTTAAAATACAGAAATCGTTCTTGATAAGCCCTGGTTCGAGCGATTACGGAGCGACGTTGGCAATTTGTTCGAAAAATGCATATGAGGCGATCCATCAAGAAGGTAGCGAAAAGTGTGCAGTGGTCTGTGTGGCGGTAACGACCGCTGTACGCCGCACGGCCAAAAGAAGCCCGAGCGATGTTACTCCTGGCCCTATTGATTTATGGAAATCAAGGTACGGTCGAAGTTCGGGGCCTCCTTGCCCCTCTCTCATTTTTTTCACCACTCGTTCTCTCGCTTCGATCCCCCGTATAAATAATTCGAGAGTTCCGCGAACTCACCGGTGAAATTCTTCGTTCATTCTCCTCTACTCGCTATTCATTCTTTCATCATTTTTTTTCTTCTTCATTTCTGCGCTGACTCGATGTACAGACGCGGAGGGCTGATGGTGAATAACTCCATTCTCTGCGCCATTTCTGACGAGACTGGAAAGGTGCATGGAGACCCTGATGTTGGAAATATGTGGGATATCAAGTACTCATAAAGTTTACGGTGCGGGATTGTAAATTCGGTTTATGACATGTCGGGCCGCCACTACTCTCTGACTATTCGCAGGAGAATAACAAGGACCAAGACGAATTGCATTTTGTTTTTTCATGGATGTTATTATGTGTAATTCAATCATAATTAGGTAGTATTAGAGACAACCCCATCAAATTGCAATATTTATTCGTAAATTTATCAATTTATTGATAAATATTTATTCAATATTGTTTGTATGTGTTTAACAAAAAAGCTGTGTCCAGGTTATGCGTGGTATTGTGTAAAACCCCCAGATGAGCTTCACGAATCTCAAACCCCCCCCGGGGGGGCTGTGCCCCTCTCTGCTCGCTTCGCTCGTTTCCCTTCGTTCGTATTTATGAACAAATAATAATGATGAGGATAATAAACTAGTAGTAATAGTCAGGATGAATTATTCGTTTGATAGGGGCTGAGCCCCCCTCCCCCTATGAACAACAGTAAAAACAACACATTGTCATCAATAGTAATTAGTTATTATCTGAATTGATTGCTTTGCCCCCTTCTCACTCCGTTTGCCGGTTCCAAGGGAGGAGGGGGGCTGCGCCCCTCACATTTAACTGATTAAAACCTTAATTAAAGGAATATCTAGTAATCATTCGGCAGGAGGGGCTAGCCCCCCCTACTCAATTTTCCTATTAACGAATGAATTAATTCATTTTCCTTTTAACCAATTGAAACCTTAATTGAAGGAGTATCTATCAATAAATTGTCGGGGGGGCTGCCCCCCCCTGCTGACTTTCTCCTTGTTCGTCGTTATGAATCAATAATAATACAAATAAATCATGTTATTATTAATAGTAATAATTTAATATTCGATTCGGTGAGGGGGGCTGAGCCCCCCCACCTACTTAATGTCTTTTCCTGAGTAGTACAACTATTCACGTAGGAATATTTTATCTGTTGGTGATATGGGTTTACCTTTTGGAACTGTATAAAACTGTTGACTAATTAAAACCCTCAATTGATTACTAACCTCGCTATTTATCCCTGTATGAATGTAACTCAGTATGTCAAGTGTACGTGGAAACACTGCAATTCGATCTATCCCGTCTGAGGGACTCAGTATGTAAAGCCAATGGCAACAGTCTGGATGGCTATACCTAGTACCTAAATCCCAAGTACAAGAGCGTAATAACATCGCATGATACACCATCATTAATCCGGTTATCCTTCTATACTTCGGGGGAACAGACACCTCGAAATACTGTGTTTCATACAGACGCTTCGGCCAGTAATGGATATATCACTTTTTCCAACATCGAAAATAATATTTGTATACATATTTATGTACCTAGCCCAATTCCGCAAATCAGATGAACGGATTCACTAAATTCATGACATGAAAATCAAGAAAGAGAATTATTTATCTCTTTTTAAATATTGAAACACCAAATTATTTTTAATTATCACTAAAATTCAACAATCTCAATTTAATTTCATATTATGTAATTATGAAGTCATAAATTATTTATAATTTTAATGAATTTTAATTGAAGAATTTTATTTAATAAGTATCAAACACCAGAGTATCATAACGGAGAAAATTTAATAATGAATAAAGAAAATTGAAAAAATTAATTGACGTGAAATTTTCGATAATTGAATATTAGAAGCAGTTGAAACTTTGGATATGAAAATAATTGTTAGATGACAGTCATGTGACTTCATATTTTTTTTTCATAATTTTTTTTATTACATAATATTTGTGTCACAAAAAATGTTGTAAAATTGAGGAATTTCATCGCGGTTTATGTAGTTAGAACAAGACGGTCATATGTCAACGCGATCATAATCTGGTGACAAAAATTATCACAACCGGCATCGTATCACAAAATGAATGCACATCCCTAATTGAACCCCTCAACTACGTATTTTCATTTTCCCAACGACTACATTGAACAGTCACAGCCAATCATATCGTTTGCGTGACGCCACCCCGAGCTCCCGTTCTGATTCGATGATGCGTAACACGAGTAGAAAGGGGAGGAGGAATAAAAAGTGAGGCAGGAAACCAAGAGTGAGAGGTGTACGAGCGATCGTACGGCTGTCTCGATTCCAACGAAACTGATTGCGGTTCATCGATCAATCGCTGATGACGGCGTGAGCTTTACCCCGTCCCCTCCCCTCTGCCCCCCGCCCCCTCCCATCGCCGAGATTGATGAACTCGAGTATTTTCTTGCGTGAAATATCCAACGACTGCGTGGGGATGGGTAACCGTGATGGGCTGATTGAGTGGCGGTTGAACTACTGGAATTCATAATTTGAGGTTTGTTTGGTTTCTACTCACTTGGAGGAACATCTCTCCGTCGAGGTGGTGATGATCGTAGGCTGCTAGCGCCGCCATTTCCCGCGCACGGTAGTGAGTGTCTCGGTGAGAATTTTCCTCTTTATCTTTGTGCATTACAACTGCAACGAAAAATTACAGTTTGTTATTTATTTGTTGTTCGAACATGGAAAAAATATACTTGACAAGTATGAAATATACTCGCTCCGCTCGCCGACTCCCATGTGACCCTCATAATCCTTATTCTGACCCTTGTGACCTTTAATCCGACCTTCATCACGCTTATTTATAATATAGAGCGATTCAAGTAGATTATTCTTGGTTCAAGCATATTTTATACTCGAATGGGGGATGGGCGTTTCAATTCGGGGCTGATTGCTTCGTGTCAGCCCGGGCTGTACGGAGCGCTCTCAAGGGTAATGTAAGGGTCAGACACTAAGTGTGAGAATATAAGGGCCAAAAAGTGGAGGTTAAAAAATGAGGGTCGGAATATTAGAGTCAAAAACTGAGGGCCTGAATGTAAAGGTGAAGGAATGAGGGTCAGAATATAAAAATAAAAAAAGTGGGTGTCAGGCAATGAGGGTCATACTTTTAGAGGGTTTTGACCCTGACATTCTGACACTTAGTGCCTGACCCTTATATTAAACTTAAGAGGCCTTGCTACAACCCGGCCTGATACAAAAAAATCATCTTCGAATTGAAATACTCATTTTTTTTCGTGAATAAAAATATTTTCTTTGAATAAAAAATTCAAGTTATTTTCTAACCATTTACTTCCTGATGCATTTACATATGCAATTTAATTATGTTAATAATTAAATAATTGTTGTAACAATGATAATAATAATGATGAATAAATTTTTGGATTAATTTACGTTGAATTGATTTTTAATTTAATTACTTTGGGGAGTGCAATTTTGTCCTCGAATTCAGTTAATTCAAGGCGTCCGACTTTCGGTGCATCTCATAAAAATGAATGTCCTCGTTCAACAATAATTGAATTATTGATTAAGCCGCGGGAATGCGGGGAGCCATCGTTTAATCCCCATTCATTAAAATTAATCAATCGTTTAAAAGATCCTTTGGAGTTTATAACACCAGTGCCAGGGCATTTTTATCCCTCATAACCAATTATTTCGGCGGTGAAATGAGATGGTCTGCGTTTTGATGTTCATTTTAATGCTACGTACCGACGTAATTTCATTATTTAGTGGTGCGTTTGGTGCCGTGGAGTTTAATTATGCCGGGCGTATGAAGCCGCGACAGGCAGGTGCGCCATTTTCGTGAGTGGAGGTGATGCGCTGGGCAACAGTCATGCCAGCAGTCATGAGGAGCAAAAATTGAATTTGATAGAATTTCTTATTATTCTATTTATAATCAAGTTATTATTTTAGTTGATAAGACAAGTTATAGACACCAATGACCAGTGATTTATTGAAGAATAAGAGATCCCGGCGCGTATCCGGGAGACCCGGGTTCGATTCCCGGCTGGGTGAAGCGGAAATTTTTTCTCTCTAAATTCTAATTCTTTTAGGATTTTTTAATGCCTAAAGAAGGTTAGGCGGTGTTTGAGGTGAATTTGAGAGTGAATTTCTGTGGTTCCCGGTAGCTTAGTCGGTAAGAGTGCCCGGCGCGTATCTGGGAGACCCGGGTTCGATTCCCGGCTGGGTGAAGCGGAAATTTTTTTCTCTCTAAATTCTAATTTTCTTAGAATTTTTTTTTTTTTTTTTTTAGCAACAGTCATGCCAGCAGTCATGAGGAGCAAAAGTTGAATTTGATAGAATTTCTTATTATTCTATTTATAATCAAGTTATTATTTTAGTTGATAAGACAAGTTATAGACAGCAATGACCAGTGATTTATTGAAGAATAAGAGAAAAATCCCATTCACATCAACTGGCGCTGCGACAGAGTGAATTCTGAGTGAGTTATGACAGAGTTATGAAGTTGAAGAATTAAGTTTGAGAATCTTGCACAATTTTATTTCCATATATTTAGATGACTATTCATCTTCACGCCATTCCATTAATTTTAAGGATTATTTTACGTTATGAATTGAATAATTTGGCAGGAAGAAACATTACTGAATGAATTAGAAAATTATCGGTTGATAATGTTGAACTGCTTGATTTATTTTTAGCTCCGTTGATTTATGGGGTTTACGGTTAAAAGATGAACAATCCATGTTTGTTCGGTAATGGATCATTACACGGAAATATAGTGCCGCAAATGCCGGTGATTGGTGGTCATGAGGTTCGATGAGGTTTTAAAGTGTTTAGGAGTTTAGCGATGCGTGGAGGAGAGCACTCGGGGTTGATGCTCGTAAAAGTGACCGGGACTGGCACGCGACGAATACGTTCGGTACACGCGTGTGCCACGCGACTCGTTTCGTCGGGTCTATACATTATGTTGTTGTCAACATTGTAAACATGACAAATGTCAATATTTTTATTTGAATGAACGTCTTACTATGATTAAAAAAATCAAATTCATCGTTAAACAATTCAATTTTCGTTATTACCACTTCAGTCATCCTCATTAATATATGAATTAATGAATTGCAATTAATAAATTATAATTAGTAATTTAATTAATATAAACTTCAAATTCATGATGGCCATGAACAAAAAAATAAAAATCTATCTTATTAAAAAACCCTTTGCAGAATTAATTACAAAAATGATTAATTTCAGCGTTGCACTCATTAAAAAAAAGAAAATTAATTAATGAAAATTCATTATCGAATGGAACAAAAAATATTTCAATTTTTTCGCATGCGATAAAAAAATTATTGAAATAAAAATTAAAAAATTAAATTCTCTCAATAAAACTAATAACGCAGATGAAACTAATTTTCGTAATTACCGCGATTAACAAATTCCAATCAATACTCATTAATAATTAATTTCAGTACCGCACTAATTAAAAATTTGAAAATTAATTAATAAAAATTATTACTGAATCGAAAAAAAATCAATTTTTTCCCGTGCGGTACAAAATAAATTGAAATAAAAAATGGATCAACTCATTTCTCAATCTCTTCGATAACAAAATAATTAACTCAAACTGTTGCACGCTCACCCCGTCACTTATATTACCAATCGCCGTTCATTCGTTTATTCAGACACAAAGGTAAATAAGATGACTCTTGAATCTCCCCGATCTACGTGTCTATTAGGCTCCTCTTTTCCCCCCCATGCCGGCCCACTCTGTCACAATGACTCGTTGATTCTGCGTTGCGCATTGCGACGGGTAGTCGATTGAATGGTCAACCGCACCGGGAGACCCATCAGCGATTATCTCAGCCATCGTTACACGATCGAACGATGATTAATGCGTTTAGGTTATTGCGTATACTGTCAGCCCCCTCTCGCCGTCTTGTATTTAACGTGTGCACGTGTGTTGGGGTTTCGGCTTGCGGCTGTCCTCGGTGACGAGTTTATTTAATCGTCGGGTGGGTTTAGATCATTGTTTGAGTGGGAAATGATAATTTCGTGGGAGAAAATAGGGAAAACTAATTCTGAATTGATTTTTGTCGAAAAACGTTGTTTAATGATTATTTGAAGAGTAGAGGTACAAAATAATTAGAGAAAAAATAGAATGATTATTAATAATTAAATTATTCATGACTGGATTGTGAATTGACTCGAGTAATTGGAAAATTCATTAACGTGTCCAAAAAATTATTGGATTTTTTGCTCTAAACGATTTGTTTTTATAATGTTTATTTCTTTTTTTTTTTTTATTTAAGCTTGCGGTTTATAAAGCTGTAAAAGTAATGTATATTTATATATACATATATACATGTATGAACATCAGGTGTGTTTTACGTTATACAAATATTTTTGGTTCTTGGTGTTGATGTTGAGATTCGGTATTTGTTTACTATATGTTAAGATCACATTTTACTAAGAATTTGTCTATTATTTTGATACATTAATGTTTATTTCTGATATTCATTTCTAATATTTATTATTTTTTACAAAAAAGCAATAAAAATCTTTGGGGTCGATATTTTTTTTGGATAAAATTATCATCAATAATAATGAGCTAATGCTTTTTTATCAGTTACATCATAGATTCATCACAAAAACTTCGAAAAAATTAAAAATCCGTATTTTTTTATTGAAAAACTGACGGAACTCGTCAAATGATTTTATTTCTTGTCACAAAAANTTTTTTTTTTTTTTTTATTTAAGCTTGCGGAAACCTACAGGTTTATAAAGCTGTAAAAGTAAATGTATATTTATATATACATATATACATGTATGAACATCAGGTGTGTTTTACGTTATACAAATATTTTTGGTTCTTGGTGTTGATGTTGAGATTCGGTATTTGTTTACTATATGTTAAGATCACATTTTACTAAGAATTTGTCTATTATTTTGATACATTAATGTTTATTTCTGATATTCATTTCTAATATTTATTATTTTTTACAAAAAAGCAATAAAAATCTTTGGGGTCGATATTTTTTTTGGATAAAATTATCATCAATAATAATGAGCTAATGCTTTTTTATCAGTTACATCATAGATTCATCACAAAAACTTCGAAAAAATTAAAAATCCGTATTTTTTTATTGAAAAACTGACGGAACTCGTCAAATGATTTTATTTCTTGTCACAAAAAAAAAATTGCTCTGCATAATTTTCCTAAACTCTTGTGAAATTTGAATTCGCCTCAAAGGCCGGGGCCTGACGTCCCCGATTAATCAGACGAAGAACAAGTGGAAAACACCGGCTGCCCTCAGACACAAAATCGATCCCTTCACCTTGAAATCAAGCTCCAGCGATCAACAGCCGTGATTGGAGCAGCGAGTCTCGTCCGAGGCGCCAGTTTTCTATCATTCCGTAAATACACAGCATTCAGGATGATGGAAATATGAAGTGGCATATTGGTCTTGCATTTTAACGTTGGAAGGTAGAATAAAGACGAGGGTTCGAGGCTCCTCCTACCTCTCGCAAGGTCGGGCATTATGCATGCCTCTGCAGATTACACACATTATGGTTTTTCTATTCCGGAGTTTCATGCATGAAATTCATTAATATTTTGAGGAACGAGATTATTCCCTGTGAAAATGTTACGGATTTGGAAAAATATCTCTATTTATTTAATC